AAAAAATAATTTTTAGTGGAGAATATGCTTCATGAAAGTGCAGATTGTATCATGGTGATATGAGTCCATGCATCTTCAGTGTAGCCTTTAAAAACAAGTTTCATTTTGTTGTGCAAAATAGTAAACATCAGCTTATGAAAGTCATTCACCATTCTGGTTGTTTATCATGGAGCCTTGATGCACTCCATTAAGCATGGCTGTCTGACTCCAATCAGGAGATGGAAACCAAGCAGAAAATATTTAATGTGAAGAATTAACTATGATGAAAGAGTGACCATAGATATAAGAAAGCCTGAAGCAAAGAGGAAAGCACCAGGACAGGTGTGTTGTGTAAGGGTTAGATCTGTTGAAGAACATATGGCTCAGTCAGCAGTGTATTTGCTAATACTGCAGCTGATCCAGAGTGGTAGGGAAAACAATAAGCCCCATAGGAAGGGTGGGCAGGCAGCATTCAGGAAAAACTCAGGGGTTCAGGCAGCTGTGGAGGATGTGGTAGGTGTGCCAACTCCTCTGGCCAGGTAGAACGCAGGTGGTATTAAGGCTTCCCTATAGAGAGAGCAGCCAAAGTTAGGTTTGTCTAGGTCCAGGTTGATGATGGGCAGGGTCCCTGAAGATCTTTATTCCACACAGCAGATCCCCACATGATGGACACCACCTGGAGGCTTCTTCTTCCTGTCCCTCCAGACTCCCCACATCCCAGTAGAGGATGCAAAATTTCTACTTGATTTAGAAGAGTTGTACTTAGATAAATTCTGTTGTTCCTCAAACAGCAGATATTAAGGGTAGATGGGGAACTGAGAGGCAATAGATTGTTAACTGACACTTGAACTATTTCCAGTCAGCTATTCTGTACATTTTAGCTAACTCAGTTTGTTGAACATTCGTCCTCAAGCTACCAAGGGGTATGTGGTGGAGGAACTTTTTTTTCTAGAAGCCTGCAGGCTCTTGGCTCACCTTGTCACCATTGCTTTCCTTTCTTATGATGTAGCCTCAGAAGCCAGAGTCATCTAACACCTCAGAAGGACAGCATTCTTGAACCCATCTAAACTCCACATTGAACCTGCAGCTTCCTCTAGAAGTCACAAGGTGAAAAAAAAGAACTGGTTAGAAATTACCCCCATACATGTAAGTAGCACTCTAAATGTTCTTGAGAGATAATTAAATACCAGTTAACTGAAAAGGACCCCTTTTCTCAGTGTGAGAACAAAATGTATAGAATACAGATTTTCTCCTGTAATTAGATATCTATAGATTTTCTGATTTCTGGTTGTGGCAGGTTCAAATTATGATGGAAAATTAGTAAAGAGAGAAGAAAGTTTCCTGCGACGAGGAAGCCTAATGCATCTCATTTCTCCAGAATTATCAGTTCTTAGAACTACTAATCAGTCTCCTCTAAGTAGACATATGTTCCTCCTGGATTAATGTCTTTTTCCTACTGTGTTCCCCATTCTTTAGCTGTACTTTATTTAGACTCTGAGGTACTGAACTCAGTGTTTATCACTGATGCCTTGATGGTCATTTGCCATACAGTAGAAAACATAGTGCAAAAGGCTTGCTTTCAAATCCATCTAAAAAGATTCAGTTAGTCAGCTCCTAAAGGATCTCTTTAGAAGGCACTATCAGCTCACCATCAAACTTTTTCAGGGGGTGGCAGATTGAGATTTTAGGACAACATACCTTATTTCCAGTCTTGTTTCCTTTCTCTGTTTAGAACTAGCTCTTAATAACTAAATCATTGATCAGCAAGGACCCAGTTGTGATTGTTTTGCTTGAAGGTAGAGGGAGGGTTGGCTCCAAGGACACACAGCTGCAAGAGGGAAACCCACGACTTAAATAAGTGTAGAAGCCACAGGAAATAAGAGTTGTCTCCACTGAGATGGTCTTGGCTAACATTGCTGTGCCCTCTTGACCCCATGGTAGATGAACTCAAGGCTTCCTCCAGACTACCACCAGAGGGTAGAAAATGCACAGTTGCCAAGAATTCAGGAGCCAGTCAGTCATTAGCATCACTCTGGGGAGCTCTTTTTGTATTTCACACACATCATGGAGCAAGTGGCTTCATCAGTTCAAAATGGGCCAAGTCAGCTAGTTGGAATTTAATTCTTGTCTTCATTTCTGGAGCTATTAGAGTCCTATTCAGAAAGTCGTTGCCTATGTTTAAATCTTGAGGTGCTTTATCCCTTAGTCGTTTCAGTTTCAGGTCTTACATTAAGGTCTTTAATCCATTTTTAGCTGATTTTTATGCAAAGTGAGAGACAAGATCTAGTTTCAGCTTTCTTCATGCAGATAGCCAGTTTTCCCAGCATCATTTGTTGAGAGCTGAATTCCCCCGTTCTTGTTATCTTTGTCCAGGATCAGGTGGCTTTAGCTGCCTGGGACTATTTCTGGATCGTCTATTCTTATTTGTTTAGGTTTATTTTATTTTATATTAAAATATTTATTTGGGGGACTGGAGAAATGACTCAGCAGTTAAAAGCACTGGCTGCTCTTACAGATGTTTGGTTTCCAGCACCCACATGGCAACTAACAACCATTTCAGGGGTTCTGAATCCTCTTTTGGCCTCTGTGCATGGGCATTACACATACAGATGCACTTACATACATGCAGGCACTCATACACATAAAAGAGTAAATTAATCAGACTTCTAGAAAAATTCTTTTGTTTTTTTTTGAGACAGGGTCTCCCTTTGGCCCTACTTGGCCTGGAACTCACAAAAAAATTCTTTTTTTTTTGAGACAGGGTCTCCCTTTGGCCCTACTTGGCCTGGAACTCACTATATAGACCAGGCTGACCTCAATCTCACAGAGATCCACCTACCTCTGCCTCCCAAGTGCTGCGATTAAAGATATGTGCCACCATGCTGACTCTAAATATTTATTTTAATTTTATTTAGATGTATGTATGTGCTCTCTGTGTCTGCAACATGTGTGTGAGTACCAGTGGAGTCCAGAAGCGGTTATTGGACCCTCTGTAGGTGGTGTTACAGATTGCTGTGAGTTGCCTGACCTGGATGCTGGGAACTAAACTTGGGTCCTCTACAAAAGCAGCAAGCAGTTTTTTAAAAAGTTTTATTTATTATTTTTATTTTATGTGTATGAGTGTATTGCCTGCATGTAGGTAAGCGCACCCGTGTTGTGCACGGTCCGCGGAGGACAGAAGAGGCTGTCAGATCCCCTGGAACTGGAGTTATGGACAGTTGTTAGCTGCCATGTGGGTGCTAGGATTCGAACCCAGGTCTTCTGCAAGAACAGTCAGTGTTCTTAACTGCTGACCCATCTCTCAGGTCTTTATCTCTGAGCTTTCAGCTGCCTGGTCCTAGGGAATGGAACTTTCGTGATGCAGTGGCCAGTGTGAGGGGTTTCCAGTTTCGCCCTCTACAGGTAATCACTTCCCTTGTTCCTCCTTCTTGGAGTTCAGGTATCTAGTGTCTTTGCTAATGGCTTAGTTGGATAGTAACTTTGTCTCTAGCCAGCTTCACATAGCTGAAGTGCTCCATAATTTCAGTTCATAATCCTGTCCTTTCCCCACCCACATTCATCCAACTCAAGTCAGCACTCAGTGAGGGCTTTTCTGAGTATGCCAGGGAAGATAGGAAAGGAAGTACAGCTCCATTCTGTGGTCCATAGCAGCCTAAGGAATTCTCTAATCTCTTACAAGATCTCAACTCAGGCCAAAATGGGATTCTTGGCTTCTACACAGAAAAGAATTTCAGGATGAGCCAGTATGAAATAAAGCCAGGGTTTGTTTGTTTATTGATTGATTGATTTTCTGTACATGTGTGAGTGCAGCTACACAGTGCCATGAGATGTGTGTGGAGGTCAAAAGAGTCAGCTCTTACCTTCTCCCTTGCTGAGGTAGGGCCTCTCTTGTTTCTGCTACTGTGCTGCCAGGCTGTCTGGCCTGCAAACTTCCAGGTAATTCTTCTGTCTGGCTGCCATCACAGTATAGGAGTTCTGGAATCACACATGCATACCCTTGCGTCTGGGTTTTTACATGGGTTCTAGGGATTGAACTTGGGTCATCAGAACAATCTAGAGCATAGGTGTGGGCTTCTCTAAGAATCACACTGTGTTGTCATTACAGTAGTCACATACAGGATTTTGGTGAGTTTAAAGCTATTATTTTTCAAGAGTTTCTAAGCAACCTAAATGAGATCATAGGCTGCCTGGTAGGATTATAACTGAGAAGGTAAAGCTGTAGATCACAGGGATGTTTCACATCAAGACACCCTACCTAGGGCCGAGGAGAAGAGTGAACTTTCCCATTGACTATATGCTATGTGAACTTTAGGACTCCTGTTTGCAAATCTGAGTACTAGAATTCTTGGTCTCTCCTTTCTTTCTACCAGGTCTATTCCGCATGTATTCTGGAAGCATCTTTTCTCTCTCCCCATTCTGCTCTCTAAATTGTCTTGGAGATGTTATTGTTTGCCTTGCTGGCATTTCATTATCTTCCCTTTTCTGTCACAGGATTTTGGAAACTGCTTTGCTGCCTCCTTGTTTTCTTCCTCTTCTTCCCACATCCAACCCCCACCCCTACCCCATCCCCATCCCTGGTGTGGAGTGTTAAATTTCCAAAGTCTCTGAAAGACAAACACAGCAGATGCTCTCTGCCAGACAGACTTATGCTAAAGGGTAAGGTTAGGCAAGGACAATTGCAATGGTAAATTCTAGTTTGCAATAGTCTTCATGCCCTAAAAAGAAAATATTATGTATATTACTAACATGATCTGCTTTAAGCCTTTTAGCAACTATGAGAATTGAGAATCCATTATTACTGTTTTCATAGTAATCCCCAAAAGCTTGTGATGGTTAATACTGATTTTTACCTTGACAGGATTTAGAATCACTTAGGAAGCATACCTCTGGGCATGTCTGTGAGGGAGACTAGATTGAAGTTGGAAGACCCACCTTAAATGTGAACAGTACCATTCCATGGGCTGCAGTCTGGGACTGAAAACAAAGGACAAAGCAAGCTAACCCTAGCAATCACTTCTCTTTGCTTCCCGATTGTGTATGCAGTGTGACTAGTTACTTTAAAGCTCTGCTACCATGCCTAGACTGTACCTTCAAACTGTAAACCAAAATAAACATTCCTTAAGTTCTTTTTGTCAAGTATTTTGTCACAGTAATGAGAAAAATAAACTAATACACCTAATGTTCATGTCTTGGAAAAGTATTCATTTTACTGTTCTTGTTCATTGTGTTTGTTTTTGTCGTTTTTCTAAATATTTATCTGGGACTGTAATTTAGGGGATTGCAGAAGGAAGATCCTCTAATAGCTTTGGATTTTTTTTGATATCTAGAACCCCTCTCCCTGGGAATGCACTTTGGTCAGACAGAAGGGTATTTTCTCCCAAAAGAACCACTATGTATGCATGGCCCTTGGGTTATCACAGGGCCTATAGCTATCTGCTGCCAGTGCACAGGTGATGACCCATACAAGGTAGCCAGCCCACTCAAGGTAGCCAACCCAACATTAAGATTCATCTACAGCCTCTGCTTCCCTGGGCCTACACAACCTGCCTGCCTCTCTCCTGGGTAAGCCCATCACGCCCACCGAGCCTTGATTCCCCCAGCCTCATTCACCCTCCCGTCTCCCCTGCCCATCTTTCCTCCTAGCCAGGGTACCGTCCCATTCCTTGTCTTGGCACCCCAGACACTGGGGGAATCACCACAGCTTCCTGATCCTTTGCATCCAGACCAACCCAGTTCCTTCTTGCTGTCCCCAGGAGCCCTCTGAGCCTGGTCCTGCCCTCACCACCCTCTGCTTCGCTGGGCTGCACAACTCAACTTGCCAGCCTTTCTCCTGGGAGCTCTCTGGGCCTGGGCCTGCCATCACTTCCCTCTGCTTCCCTGGGCTGCACAACCCACCAGCCTCTTTCCTGGACACCGGGGCTGACCTCTCAGCTTCCCACTTCCTCCCTGCAGTCCCCAGGAGCCCTTGGGGCCTCTTCTTGCCCCCATCTCCCGTTGCATCTCAGATGGCACAGCCACTACCTGCCCGAGACTAGGATCTTTCCTGGGCCCTGCTCCCAGGTGAGTCCAACCACCAAATTCCTGAGGACAACATCTTTCCTGGAGGGATCCAGACCATAGGAGAAAGGCTGAGAGCATCTGATTCTCATCTGACTTGGGCCTCTGTGGGAATTTCTGAAGACAAAAGCAATCTGGCCACTCCAATAAAAAAATCAAAAGAGAGAATTGGAAGCTTAGATGAACCGCTTTTCATACCGAAAAAGTAAACCACAAAGGCACATAAAGTTTACAAAAAGAAGCAGACCTAAACTTGAGGCTTGAGTCTCACACAAGAATCAGAAACTACAAAAGAAATTCACATGTCAAAATCACAGAGAAAAAATAACATGAAAAACCAAAATAACATTCCCACCAAATACCAACAGTCCTCTAGAGGAGTACAGTGAGAGCCCCCTAGAGATAATGCAGGAAATGAAAACTAAAAGAAAAATTGTAAACATGATAAAAGAATTCAGTGAATTTGAAGAACACACAAAGAAATCAAAGAACCGAAGGAAGATAGGGATAAATTTCTGAATGAATTCAAAAAAGACCTAGAAATATTGAAGACTACTCAGGCTGAAATGAAGAAGGAAGTGAAACACTCAGTAAGCCAATTAGAAACGACAGGAGAAAGCCTCACCAATAAGATGAATGAAATGGAAAATGGAAAACAGACTATCAAGACTGGAAGATAAACTGGACAAACTAGACCACTCAAGCAAAAATTATGAAAAATTTAAGAAAGCACAAGAATGGTATATGCAGGAATTGTGTAACACCATAAAAAGAACAAACTTGTGAATCATAGGCATACAGGAATGAGAAGAATCCCAAGATAATGGCATGTACAAGGTCCTCAACAGAATTGTAGAAGAAAACTTCCCAAAATTAAAGAAAGACGTGCCCATACAAATACAAGAAGCATATAGACCACCAAACAGACAGGACCAGAAAAGAAACTCCACAGCACATCATAGTAAAAACACTAAACATACAGAACAAGAGACAATAGTGAAAGCTGCAAAAGAAAAACAAGTCACATATAAAGGAAGAAAACCAAACAGGATCACAGCTGACTTTTCAGTGTTAACTATGAAAGCCAGAAGAACCTGGGCCAAAGTATTCCCAGTTTTAAATGAACAAATATGCCAACCCAGATTACTTGTCTATTATAGTCAAAGGGGAAAGAAATATCTTCCATGACATAAATAGGCTGAAGGAATTCATGGTCACTAAACCAGCCCTTCAGAGAGTTCTGGAAGCAATACAAATAGCTGAAGAAAGGAATGACTATACCCAAGGGGTTGCAGAAAGAAATTCAATAAAGGTATGACTGTGAAAAAGTACAGTTATATCAAGAATGTGAACAGAAATAAAAATGACAGGATTCAATACACATCTTTCATTAATAACTTTAAATATTAATGGACTGAACTCCCCAGTCAAAAGACACAGACTAGGTGAATGGATTAAGAAACAAAACCGACCATTTTGTTGTCTGCAAGAAACTCATCTCACTTTCAAGGACAGGCACTGTATTAAGGTGAGAAGAAGGGAAAAAAAAATACCAAGCAAATGGTACTAAGAAAAAAGCAGGCATTACAATTCTAATATC